TGTAACAAAAGTTACGTAATGTTCATTACATAACAGAGAAACGAGGTTTTTTCGTTTTTTTTCTTCAGTTTTTCGTGAATTTCTCGACAACCCCTTAAGATAATTACATCACCGACCACTCGTATGAAAGCTGATTGTCTCACCTATCCAACGAGCCTACTGGCATCTTCGTACTGCCGCCGAGTCGCCTGCTATAAGCTGTAGAAAGTGGAAAAATGGTGAATTGAATTTGTCAAAAAATGGATGTTATCAGTTTTTCGATAATAACTCGAAAAGTAATAAACTTTTTTATGATTTTATTGCATAATCAGATGCACGCAAGCGTTACGCAACTTTTATGTAACAAAAGTTACTTAATGTTCGTTACGTAACAGAAAAACGACGTTTTTCCATTTTTTTGTAGTTTTTCGTGAATTACTCGACAACCCCTCAAGATAATTACATCATCGACCACTGGTATGAAAGCTGATTGTCTCACCTTTCCAACGAGCCTACAACCATCTTAGTACTGCCGCCGAGTCGCCTGCTATGAGCTGTAGAAATTGGAAAAATGGTGAATTGAATTTGTCAAAAAATGGATGTTTTCAGTTTTTCGATAATAACTCGAAAAGTAATAAACTTTTTTATGATTTTATTGCATATTCAGATGCACGCAAACGTAACGCAAGTTTTTATGTAACAAAAGTTTCGTAATGTTCATTACATAACACAGAAACGACGTTTTTTCGGTTTTTTTTTCAGTTTTTCGTGAATTTCTCGACAACCCCTTAAGATAATTACATCACCGACCACTCGTATGAAAGCTGATTGTCTCACCTTTCCAATGAGACCACTGGTATCTTCGTGCTGTTGCCGAGTCGCCTGCTATGAGCTTAAGAAATTGAAAAATAATCTTTCAAACTACGTAAAAGTAAGCAACGAAGGTTGTAATTCACTTATATAATAATATATTATAATAAATATAAACATTCAATATAAAAGGAAAACGTTTTTCAGCACGACAGAACGAAGAAATATAAACTAAAACAATAACATTAGTATTTTAAAAATAAAAACAAAATAAGAATAATAATAATAATAATAGCAGCAATTAAAAAAAATAAAGATATAATGTATAAGAAATTTGTAAAATAATGAAACATAATTTTTGCATATAAATGTACAAATAGATATAATTATATATATATAAATTTAATTCGCCTATTCTTCGGTTTCGCTATCCTCCTCATCGTCCTCATCCAACTCGGGCATCGGAAACCTCAATATTGCAGCCAATCCAGTCAACTGTTCCAAACCTAAAAAAAAAAAACGAAAATATTTTCAACAACAAACAAAAAAAAAAGGTTAAGAAACGCTGGATTAACTCACGTTCTCCGGACGGGTGCAACGAGGAGAATATCTTGACGTCTCCACCCGATTCACGCACGCTATCTACGATCTTCACGTATTCCTTTCGCAAATTGACATCCTGAGATCTGAAATTAATTTACAATTTTAGTTAATATCTTTCACTTGATTTATCTGTGTAAACAATAGTTTATACCTGAATAGACTGTCGGAGATTAAGAGAGTTTCGATGGCCTGAGACTCGTTGGCCGCCTCGATGTGTTTCTTGCCGTAGAAGGCTTTGGCCGGTTCGCATTGAAGCGTCGTGTAGAACTGCTCCAAGGCTTTCACTTCACCGGCGGCCTTCGTGTCGGCGATTTTGTTGACCACGGCAGGATCCTGAAGAACATCTGAAACAAAAAAACAATCGGTAATACGTTACGTAGCAACAGCTTGGAAATTACGTAGCAACAGCTTGGAAATTACGTAGCAACAGCTTGGAAATTACGTAGCAACAGTTGTGACACTCACCTTGCAGAGAATGTTTGAAGCCGGTTGTCGAATGTATCAGCATGAACTTCGCTTTATTATCTAAAATCACCTTGTTGTCCGTTTTGATCGCCTGCTGGATCATGTACTCGTGAAATTGATCCTTCACGAAACCGGGCGATGCGACCAGCACACATTTGACCACATCGAAATTGACGTGCCTGAGGATGGCCTGAATGATGGTATCGTAGAACTTTGAGATTCCCTTCTCGTATTGCTGCACAAAGCCTTTCCTCTTCCTCGGGATGCTCACATCGATTTTGGTCCTCATCAAAGTCATGTTCGAGGTGATCAGACAGACAAACGCCAATCCCTCCTGCATGATCACAGCTGCAACATCGGCACTCTGTGTAGGATTGCAGGCTATCTCCACCCTCTCCAACGCCACAGAATCCCAATGCATTTTCATCAACGTAAACTTCCTGTTCAGCACCAAATCGAGCGTATGGTAACATCCCATTTTCACGTACTCGTTCTCTTCCATGTTGCGCCCCTTCACACGCAGCTTGCACCCTTGCGCATCATAATCGATGCTCTCCACTGATACAGTAAGAGTGGTCCTTGTACGGAACGTCGTACCCGATCCAGTGCTCGACTCCAAATTCACCTTTCGAACAGTCGAAGCTCGCACCACATCACCTTCTGTTATCAAATTGTATGCGTGCCAAATATCATCCATCTCCTCAGGTATAAAACTCATATCCCTACAACAACAATCGAGATAAAACATATTCACCAATTTGACAACCAAGTCAAACGAGTTGAGATCAACCAATCGTGCTGCGATGACAAATCTCTTCGAACAATAATACAAAGTACATGTTGATCACAGGTGGCTCATGCAAGTGTTCAATGTTAAAGACATAACCTCGAACATGAACCACCCACAAACAAGAACAAAACAAAAACCATTCTCACCCTTTGCCATCGCGATCCACATATTTATGAACCAGCTTCATTTCGACGTTAGCTTTCTAAACTCTTCTAAACACAAATAAAATCTGCACTGGTACGTCATAATCTATACGCTTGACAGTTCTCTTCTTCAATCTTCAATTTTCTGTCTCCCACCACCACGATTGAAGGCAACTTCAGGTCGAATTTTCGCTACATCGAAACGTCACATGTTCGAAAATTCAATGTTAGTTTTTGTAAGTTAATGCAGAGTTTCCCAAACTGTGCTTCGCGACACCCGCAGCGTAAAGTTACGTAATGTTCATTACATAACAGAGAAACGACGTTTTTTTCCATTTTTTGTAGTTTTTCGTGAATTTCTCGACAACCCCTTAAGATAATTACATCATCGACCACTCGTATGAAAGCTGATTGTCTCACCTTTCGAACGAGCCTAAAAGCATCTTCGTACTGCCGCAGAGTCGAATGCTATGAGCTGTAGAAATTGGAAATAATGTGAATTGAATTTGTCAAAAAATTGATGTTTTCAGTTTTTCAATAATAACTCGACAACTCCTTAATATAATTACATCATCGACCACTCGTATGAAAGCTGATTGTCTCACCTTTCCAACGAGCCTAGAAGCATCTTCGTACTGCCGCAGAGTCGCCTGATATGAGCTGTAGAAATTGCAAAAAATGTGAATTGAATTTGTCAAAAAATGGATGTTTTCAGTTTTTCAATAATAACTCGACAACCCCTTAAGATAATTACATCATCGACCACTCGTATGAAAGCTGATTGTCTCACCTTTCGAACGAGCCTACTGGCATCTTCGTACTGCCGCCGAGTCGCCTGCTATAAGCTGTAGAAAGTGGAAAAATGGTGAATTGAATTTGTCAAAAAATGGATGTTTTCAGTTTTTCGATAATAACTCGAAAAGTAATAAACTTTTTTATGATTTTATTGCATAATCAGATGCACGCAAACGTTGCGCAAGTTTTTATGTAACAAAAGTTACGTAATGTTCATTACGTAACAGAGAAACAACGTTTTTTTCATTTTTTTGTAGTTTTTCGTGAATTTCTCGACAACCCCTTTAGATAATTACATCATTGACCACTCGTATGAAAGCTGAATGTCTCACCTTTCCAACGAGCCTACAACCATCATCGTACTGCCGCCGACTCGCCTGATATGAGCTGTAGAAATTGGAAAAATGGTGAATTGAAATTGTCAAAAAATGGATGTTTTCAGTTTTTCGATAATAACTAGAAAAGTAATAAACTTTTTTATGATTTTATTGCATAATCAGATGTACGCAAGCTTTGTGCAACTTTTTATGTAACAAAAGTTACGTAATGTTCGTTACATAACAGA